TGTGGGAACACATAAGCAACATTTTAATAGCTATACAATATTCTGTCTTAGTTGACCACAGAGACTTATTATACTTTTTATTAAACTAATATCCTTTGTTTTTTGTTAGAAGCCACTTTTTTCTTAGTATTCATAGAAACTGTGCTGTTAGGAATGTCATATTATTTAAAAATTTAAGAGAATTGGGGAGCCTGTTTTAAACATACATTTATAATAATACCGATATTAAACTCATAACTTACATAGTTATACTTTTATATTCTCAGATCATCATTTTGTCTCTTAATGGAACAGAGGCAAATACTTAGTGAACTAGTAAAGTACCATTTTAAAATATTTTCAAAGCTTAATTTGAATGTAATCATGTCAATGGATTTCATATTATCTGGGCACTATCATTAAATCATCTACAATTTTTTTTCTAGCTCATGAATGAAATACATTTTGATTCTTCAGAATTACATTTCTATTTAAGGCCCTGCATTGAACCATATTTTTATATTAACCTCTGTTCCAGCAAATTCCATCTATGCAATTCCTTTGGCACACCCCTTAGTGAGAGTATGCTAAACATGGTGAGATGCACTATGTGGCTTACCCATTTGAAGACCCAAAGCTACCCTTCTGTGGATAATATCAACTCTCATAAGCAACTCCTTACCCTTTTCCACTGCCTTTGTCTAACTAACCTCTGCCCACTAGTGATACCATCAAGCTGCTTCCTTCTCTAAAAGACTTTCGTGCTTTGATTTTGGCCTATCTGATATCTCTTTTTTATTATCCATAATGTCCTATGTACACTTTTATGTCATCATGATCACGTTTTAAGATGAGTGTTTGTGTGTCTCATGCTCCTGGAGGCATGTATTCATATTAGTACCTTCTGAACTTGTCACATATTAATTACTTGCTCCATCAGGCCTCAGGTAATAGTAGGACACAAATAACTTACCTCAAAGGGTACAAACACAGCTTACATAACTTACCTAGGACCGTACAGGTTTTTGTGTCAAGAGAGCCAAAATTTTCAGCTCAGGTGGTCTAGCTAGTAGTTAATAGCAACAGTTCTGTGGCTGGATGATATATCCATCTGATTGCATAAAAACTCTGATTTCCCAATTTGTCCATTTCTGTGGCATGCATCCTATAGGGCTTTAGGGGTCTCCTGTCGTCTTGATGAGATATCATGTCATGTCCTAGGATAGCGTGTTTTGTATTCTGACCAAAGACTGTTTTGACTCCTGGTACATGACTTGATGATTCCTTTCTCGGTGAGAAATTAGAGGTTGTTTTGGTTTCCTTTGTATTTCCAGAAATTTTTCTATGGAAAGAGTGCTTTAAAAAGGGTCTGTGTTACATCTATCTTTAACAGCTCTGTTAAATCCTTTCCCTTTCTAAAGTATACCCCTTTTTATAATAGGAAACATGTGGTTTCTTGGAAAGAACTGAAACACATAGGCTTTTAAACAGTATAATGCAAGTCATTTAAATTAGTCATGGTTACATTCTCCATAACTTTCAAGGCAAAGAAAATCTCAGTGTGCCAAATGTATGACAGTGAAATTCAAATTTATCAGAGTCTCAGCTGAAGATTCTGTCTTTGCACTTAAATAAAAGAAGAATAGGAGTAAAAGGTCATTTGGGGTCATTAAATTATACCCTCGTCTGTAAAGAGATTCTATTAATTACTATTCAGATTTCATAAACATGATTGTCATAGTTATGTCTTTAATTTTCTCATTATAAAGGTATTTCAAACACATCAATTTGGAAAATGGGAAAAAGGGAAGAAAAATTATCCATAATTTATCCACATAATACAATTGCTATTATGCAAATTCACATATTTGGATAGTCTTTTGGCTCTACGAAATGTGATATGTCATGGATCTTCACCTCTGAGACCTTCGCTACTTAAATCCCATGCTCTTATCACAATCTCCAATACCATTTCAGAAAAGTATTTGTTCTTTTTCTTCACTGACGTCCCCACCTGAGGCCACTGTGTTCTAGTCTTCAAATTATGAGGCTCCCTTTGACCTTACTTTTTTACTGACACAGCATAGTATCTATAAGTTCTTTCCCTTCTTTCACTCTCAGGTTTACTGTCAACCCTTATGCCTCATGATTCTTTCTTTACTCCTGATCTATAAAACCTTCCCCAGATTAATCCAAATATCACTCTTCTCTCTTTCAGCCATTAGGTTGGATATCATTCAACTGGGCGTATTAGTGCCTCTCCAGGCTCGTGATCTCCATCCTCAGCTGGACCATGTTTTCTGACTCATTTATATTAAGTATTTCCGTGGTACTTAATCCGCTCTCTTCCCCATCTTTCTGTTGCTATTACAAGCTTTTGTTCCTTTTCCAAAAAAATACTATTCAACTCTCCCTTCCACCTTTGACCCATGCATCAGATAATTGTTGCCTCCTCTTTCATTTAGTCATACAAGAATAGCAGAAAGTCATTTCCTTTGCTTACAAACTATATCTATGAAAGCCCTACAGTAATCACGTTACATGGTGAAACTGACATTTTTATTAAAGTCATCAAAGAAAACAAGGATCTCAACATCACACATATATTTCAAAAGTATGTTAGAAATCTTAGTGTAGTAAGATTACAGAAAAATACAGGAAAAAATACCTAAAGATAGAAAAGAAGAATACAGAATAGATAAGAACTGGAAATAAGTGAGAATATTATTTCTATTTGGGAACAATGGATTTGAAGGCGAATAAATGTAAAACTTAGTAAAGTGACTAAATTTGATATGCACTAGTCCATGCAGCAGAGGGATATTTGACATGATGACATCCCACATTAGTTGAGTTTAAATCAGCATTTGGTGATGGGAGTATTTTAGTTGTGAAACAAAACAGTATCCTAAGGGAAATTTTATGTCAAACGGTTGCCATTGGCATGCTAGTTATAGTTGAATTTTACTATAGTAAATTTCACTATAGAAAATTTACTATAGAAAATTATAGTAATTTTGTGGGACTTTAAATCTCAATTATATATGTATTTTTAAATTTTCAAATGCGCAAGAGAATTTTAATGCCCTACTAGGAGGTGACGCTTTTCTTCTACCCTCCTTCCATTGTCCATTTTTCCTTCTTCCCTTCAATTATAACATGAGTGCAATTACTCCCAAATCTTTGTTTTCCATTTTTTATTGTATTGATAAGTACTTGATTAAGCTCTTTTAAAATTCACTTTATGTTTAAGAGTTTTTAAAAGTTTTTCTTTCATTTGTTTTCTAGTGGTCCCAGAGTATGGTTTCATTCTCCTCCTCTTCCCTTTCGCAAGCCCTCCCTATTTATCACCACCTTTACTTTCCCTCCTATTTCACCTGCTTGAACCCTGGAGTAATTTCAGTTGCTTTAATAAGCCAATGAAGTAGTAGGGCTTATCATCTGCCTTCTCATCCATTTATCCATCTGTCCATCCATTCATAAAGAAGTCGTTTGTCTATTTGTAATTTCTATAAAATCTTTTAATTCCTAAACATCTAGAAAAAAATAACATCTGTATGTAAATTTCATCTCTTGGCTGTTTCTTCTTGTAGTTATATGTTTAAAATAATGTGTTTCTACCACATTTTGCTTAAAAGATGTACCTCCATGTTTCTGATAGGCCAGTGGTATCAGCCCTTGACATTCTGCATGAAGGTTTGAATGAGTAAAGATTTCAGATACACTTTCCACTAATCTCCCTTTTCAGTCCTTCAGCAGTTCCTTTCCTCAAACCTCCTGTGCCTCAGTCTCGAGCTCTCTAGGGTTCTACCGTGCCCATAAAACCCTTCTCTCCCATTGTTTGGGCTGTGGTTCCACTCACCTCGTTTATGGTCCTCCATGAATTTTCTGTCTTTGCAAAATGTGGGCAAGGTGATTTATTCTTTTATTTACATTTAATTATTCCTTATTATTTTTTAAGTTTCTGAAGAATGGGGAAAAAGTCATAAGCAGTCACTAACCATCTTTAACTACGGGCAACTCTGCACTAAATTGTAATCAGAAGCAAAACAAAAGTTAGTGGGTCACTGGTTCAATATCAGGGTCAAATCCCTGTTCTGTCCTATTTGTTAATCATATGATTTTTGGAAAATCTTTTTGCCTGTCCAGGCCTTAATTTTTTTTATAAAATGAGCTTAAATATATTTTATGAGGGTATGAGAATTAGAGAACATACAGTTACTTTAGTAAACACTAGATATTGTTTTATAACTTTTGTTATTTGAAAATGCATCAAAACATGCTTAAAGAATGCAGTTCCTTGTGCTAAATAAAATGTATTCAGGGATGTATCTTAAGTAGTCAAATAGCACATAAATCTTTGGCTAAAGAATATCAGCGATTCCAAATATTATCATCCTTACTGATAATTAAACCAAAAGATCAAATATCTTGCTGAAGTTTTTATCTTACATAATATTTCAGTATCATGTTCTGTAGGTGGACCATCTTACTAAGCAAGATGTTTTCAAAGGAAGCATTTTCAACTTACCGAACATCACAGATAATTTTTATGTTGTATCAGTTAAAATAGTACTTAACAAAATAAATTTCAAAATTTTATTAAGATATCAATCTAAGTTCAAGAATGTTCTATATATAGTTTATTTTAGAATATATCTTTGAACCTAGATTCTTAACAAGAATAAAAAATATTTAACATAATTGCTGTTTTTTTAATTTACATTTTTTAAGTTGCAACTATTCATTTATCTTACATGTCAATGAAATGGTATTTATAGAATATATTCTTATAGTGTGCCTTTTGAGAACTGGATTATGGTAAAATAATTTCATCTAAAATAGGAAATTAAAGTAATACTTGTAGTTTATTGAGCAACTTATACATTTATAAGGGCCAGATACCACTTTAATGTTGACATATTCTTCTACTAATACCTAGCATAAATATTTACATTTTAATTCTTATATATGGTAATTAATGTTTTCTAGGTATAGCTTACTTGAGTGGAATGTGTAGTGAAAAGAGAAAATGTATTATCGCTGAAGACAATGGCCTAAATCTTGCATTTACAATTGCTCATGAAATGGGTCACAAGTAAGTGAAAATTCTGGCTTTCCTAATATATTAGCATATAAATTTGTGTGTAAGTTATTGAATTAAATGCGTGTCTTTGATTTTCTTCTTTGGCCTCAAGTTTTTAAAAAATTAGGGAAATGAAGTAGAGATCATGTAAATTTAAGGAATATTTTTTGGATGTTGTAACCATTCCTGATACTTTGAATAAAATCTTATTACATTGTTAAAATCCTCATCAAGAGAATGTTTACATGGCACATAATTCATTTCACTACTCATTTCCCAATGAAGTAAACATTGTAATAATGTAACCATGGTACTACAAAAGTATGTTATCATTCAGAAATCAAAGGAAAACACTTACAAGTACAAGCACTTCCAGCCTGTAATAGTACCTGTTTGTTATTAGTCAACACAAGAAATTAATCTGCATGGTTTAGGAGTAGTGTATTTGAAAGATAATTAAATTGCATACATAATTAATATGTAATGAACATTAATTATGCATCAGGCACAATTCTAAGTACTTTAGATATATTAGTTTACCTAAAATTCATAAAAAAGCAATGATATCGTTCTACAGTTCTACAGATAATATTAATGGCAATAATAATTAGTGATTGCAACATTTTTGGAGCACTTACCATGTTCCAAGCACATTTCTATATGCTTTATACAACCTCCCAACATTCTTGTGAGGTAGTGCTATTAGAGTTTACCCATCTTACAGAGGAGAAAACTGAAGTAGAGAGATGTTCATTTGCTATCCCAAAGTATAAAAATAATAAGCTGGAGGAAGGATTTAAACTCAAGTCATCTAACTCAAGTCCTACTTTTCTGAATTTCTACATTATCTGCTGTCTTTGGGCCTTAGATCCCTTATCAATAAAATGAGGATATTACCTGTGTTATAAGGTTGGGTTTGGGATCCAAATTACATAGAACTGTACACATATTTCCAGAAGTATATTTTAGTAGAAATTTCTAGGAACTCAGAATTTTGACTGCAGGCTTCCCTACGTGCTAGGTAGTTCAAATGAAGAGTATTTAAATTGGTTTCAGATTTAGTGAGGTCCTACTGAGGGAGGCGATCTTTATGGAGGCCTCTTTGGTCAAAGACATATTTAGTTTGGCCAGTAGTATTTAAAATATTGAATCCATTGCCAACATTAAAAAGTATAAGTTTGACATAAAAATGGAAATTTCCAGACCTGGCAACATTAGACCCACAGTCCCACATGGCAGCCATTCTTCAGAACTGAGTAGCATCTGTACCCTTTAGACCAGGCCCATCTTTCCCAGCTCATCACAGGCTGTAGCACTAGGTACTGTATGCCAGGTACGCTTCATGTTCTTCAAAAGCCAGGACTCTGCAGGCAATTGAGTAAAGTTGAGTTGGCAGTGCAATTGGATTGGTATAAGAAAGTTTAGAAGAAAATTTATGTAAGACGTAACAGTTTGATTTAAAAAAAAACTTTTTTTTATTCAAGTAAACTATAGGAAAATTAAGTCATAATTATACAGCTCAGTGGATTATCACAAATTGAATATACCCATGTGCCCGTTTACCTACTCCAAGAAATAGAACATGATCAACAGTGCTTGAGTTTTGCTATCATTGTTTTTAAATGTGTGGATATACTTTTATTTTATACCATGCAGGCTTTCAGTAATCGGTCAAGTGCTCTAGAATACAAGGAGTTTGTTATTCAGAAAGGAAAGAAAAAAGATAAATACACTTTAAAACCATTCTTTAAGGAAAGATGCAATGAAGAAACCTCATTCAATATTGCACCCCAGGAACAATAGGATTTACATTTTTAATTCCAATACAATTTTCATAGTTTAAAAATATTTCAGCTTAATCATACTAGGAAAAACCATGTGCATCACTTAAATGAAGAATACTGAGAATAATGTTTAGAGGCAAGAAAAAGTTATTGAAAATATTAAGATAATAGGTGCAAATTAATCATAAATACAGTTCTTACAATGCAAGTTTCTCAATAATTATAATTTTCACTCTGTAGCTATGCATTAACTGCTTGAATATACAAGCAATCTGAGTACATTTTTATGAAACAGATGCTACATAATTTCATCAAGTGACAGAATACTAGAAAGTTAACTTTAAAAAATAATTTTACTTTTCAGAAACAGATATGTAAAATTAATTTCTTCACTCTCTGTTGTATTCTAAAACATTGTATTCTAATTAAAAACTAAGTAGAGGAACCAATCACAATACAAGTTACTTTATTAACATGCAAAGGCTTGTTCAAGAACATACAACTACTTAAACAAGAAACTAAATGATCTGATTGAAGGTAAGGCCACTTCAGCTTTTATGTAGTAGAAACATTGGTTTATGACCAGGAACTCAGATTGGAATGGCTAAAATGGCAGTAAAATATTATTTTATCTGACTTTTATAGAACTGCACCCAAAATCAATAGAGATGTGCCAGAGGTATGTGTAATGCTTGATGGATTAAGACCAGGACACGTGATATATGTTGAACTACTTAGTTGCTAAAAATTATTCTTACCAGTAAGCAATATTTGTCTCAAAAGCAGAGGCTGATGTTTTCTTTTTGCTAGAGAGTGGGAGACACTAGCAGTGAAAATATGGTGTCTTTCTGAAGAACAGACAAACAGGAGGGAGTTCATCTATATAAATTATATCATCAACCATTATGCAATGTAAGACAGACCATAATGGCAGAAAAATGTAGGAAGAGGAAATAAAAAGCAATGTTCACATACACATAGCCTCTTGAATGGGGAAAGTTTTCATAGATGTTAGACAATCATATATATGGATCCTGTATGTGTACACACACACACACACACACACACACACACACACACACACATGCACACACACATGTTAAGAGAGCTCTTTTACTTATGGGTATAATTAAAGGTCAACTATTTAAGTGAAACAGTTAAATTCTTTTATTTCTTCTTCTTGGATTTCTTTCCTTCTTTTCTTTTTTTAATATGCCTTTTTCTAATGTATTTCCTATAGGCAGAAAATGGATCCTATAATTCTGCAACCCACAATTTTAGAATGTTAGAATGATTCCATTTAAACTTGTCAATTCAAGAATACCTTTATAATCACATACGAAATGTTTCTAAACTTGTTTGGAATGAGTGCCTTTATATTTGTAGCCTTGAGTTTGACTTCTAGAAATTCCCAGAGCAACTCCACATATAATTGCAAAAGTCAATATAAGCCACTAAGTAACTGACTCTTGGGGTCAGGAATTTGAGTAATTGAAGAGAACACAAAAATATTTTCTTTACTATTGCAAAGGAATCTTAAACAATGTCTGAAAAAATTGAATATTCTTTTGGGAAATCACCAATTTGAAAAATATTTATTTATATACACAAGTGTAAGAATTCACAACAAGAAAGAGGAAGTGAATGATTTATACCAATGTTTTCTGACTCCTTTTCAAAATTATTTTCCTTTCTCAACAATAGGTCAAGGGAGTGATGATCTTTCTCATAATCCAAAGTTTCAACAACAGAATATTCTTATTGGTATTGAATGTGTTTATATGAATAAGATACAAATGAAACTAATGAAGATTAGTTTACTGTGATGAAAGCCAAAACTTAATTTTAATGAATAAAAAATACCTTAGGAAATGGTTCATGAATTTGACAGGATTGGTTAAGTGCATATGTATATACATACCTATTATATTTTATATGATCTTTATGAATAATTAAAGAGATTTCATGTGGTCATTTACTATTGATTATATTATTGATTATTAGTTGTCATTAGATTAGTGTCTTTGGGTACAGTGTTCCCAAGACCATCTTGGGTTCAGTGATTTGCTGGAAAGACTCAGTAGGGCTCAGGACATACCTGGTACAAACTTCCAGTTGCCTCTCCCAGTGGGGTTGTGCAAACAGTGCTTCATTCTCTCAGTAATGTGTGAAAACACACAGAGCCTTGCCAGCCAGAGAAGCTAACCTGAGCCTTGGTATCTAGGGTTTATCCTGGAGTCTGGTCATGTGTGGTGGCTGACCACCCACAAGGATGACCTTCAGCCCCCATCACTTCCAAAGGTCAAGCTGGCCCAAATACCCCTCCACAAATCACATTGTTGGTATCAACTCTCTGACATGTCCCAGGGCTCCCAGGTGAACGAAGATACCCTTATCAGGCAAGATATTCCATAGGCTTAGAGGTTGCCTCCTGGGAGCCAGGCAAGGACCAGACCTCTGTTTGAAATATGCAAGTTCTGGACCACCGAAACTCATGGAGTTAGCTCTTTACTGCACAATTGCATAATATTTTTAAAGTCAAAATATCATGGTTATATTAGGTTGCTAATGGCTGTCTAACTTTTATTAGAAGGCATTGCACTAAATACTATGTATTCAAATCTAATTCAGTCTCATAAAATCTTAGCCAAGTGTTGTTATTAAAGTAAAGCTAATAGAGATGATTTTGGGGGGAGTTCTTTTGATACTGACATTCTTTTTTGGTTAAATATATTGTTAAGATTTTCCTGGTTCTCTTTCTTAATTTCCCTTGTTTTTTAATGTCTTTGACTTGAAGATATTTTTAATAGTCAAATCTCATATTTTCTTCCATTATTTCTTTTATAGCTTTTTCAGTTAGAACTGCTTCTGCATTCTAAAAGTAAGAAAATGCATTTTTGTCTAGTTGTTTTATATTTTCTTCTCTCTCTCTGTCTTTCTCTCTTTTGGCATCTAACACTAGAAGACCATCTAGAATCTACTTTACTGTATAAAGTTCTCCCCATTAAATTTGATTTTCTAACTAACTGCTCAATAAATGATATTACTCTACAGAATGTGGTCTCTGATGAGATAAGGAGCTAGATTAAAATAGAGCACATTGCCTGCTACATCAAAAAAGTTTTGAAATGGAAAAAAAAAGCTGAACTACACTGTACTTAGTGATATAGCTGATTTGCATTCTAGTGCCAGCTTCTTATCTAGATACAAATCCTTAGAAATGATTTCTGCTAATGGCAGCTAGCATACCGACCACACAATGAGTAGCCCTGCCAGGTCACACTAATTCACGCTAAGTCAGTGTTGCCTAGGAAGTTTGAGTTGCCAGAGAGCAATCTAGATTTTTAGCCTGAAAGGTGGTCTGTACTTGAATTCTGTATCTCTGTCTTCCTATATTTTTGAAGAACTTTTAGACATAAATTCTGTGATGCAATTCACTGCAAATAATAAAAGTTTTTCTTTTACGCAAATATTTAGTGATAGTTTAGATGGTTTTGTTACATAAGTGAACAATATATACTATATAGTGAGTATATATGATATACACACGTGTATAATATATGGAGTATATAAATATACATATAATATATATAATATCAAATGTAGTATATATCTATATTACACATAGTATATGTATAGATAGATATTTGTAGTCTTTGTTGTATATATTGTTATTTATAAATAAAAATATCCCCTTCAATATTGGGTAAGCACTCACTAAAATTTAGCCCCGAGCCTTAGATATTATAAAATATATAAATTATCAATGAAACAGTAATATTAAAGATAATTATTAATAACATAATCCTGTGAATATTTTTCTGACCTTAGTAAATCTGGAGATTCATTGGGCAGCAAAACTTTGCACTGGCTTGGCACATTCTGCTCCCACCTGAAGAAGGAAGGCAATGTTAGATTTGTTTTAAAGATGATGATTGCTGAAGCTCACACCGCTAAGAAGTGCCTGAGAGGGTGTTCAAAGTCATTAAACATGTCATTAATCACTGTGCTGTGCCAGAAATACTGAAGGGTGCGCCTAACTAACTTTGTGCAACTTACATCTGGGCTGGCTCTGTATTATCTGTCCCTACCGTACCTTTCAGTGTACTTCTCACTGTGCTCCCTCTCATTCTCAGTCAGCACTGTGTGCAGCCCATTAGAGTTGTTACAATGTTTCTAATATACCACATTCTTCACACTGCAGGACACTGACACACACCATTCCCTCTACCTGCAGTACTCTTACTTCCCATCTGTGAATAATTGTCTTCTACTAAGTATAATTCATATATCATATCAATAACCATTTCCTACAGAATGTGTTCTGTAGAGCTCAGTCTCTCTATTAAACACTTAATAGCACCACCTCTTTGTAAGTGCACATTCATTCATCTATCTACTGGTAGGCTGTAAGCTCCAAGAGCTTGTTTTTTGATGATCATGGGATTCTTCATGCATTTGATAGTACTTAATACATATTAGGCACTTAATAAATATGTATTAATTAAGCAAATACTTTAATGTGGTAATTTTCTTAGCAAAATATTCTTGTTCTTATTCAATGAAAATGTATTTGAAAACAGATGCTGTATACACATTTAAATTGTTCAGAGTGTTTTTAGATATGTATGAAACTTTTAATAAGGTATCACGCTAAGTTTTATAAAAATAATATGGTGTCTTTTTGAAGATACCCAATCCCATATGGAGTGAGACTTTATTCCAGTATGCACAGCAGAAATGACACCTTATAGCTTAGAAGAGCTCCCTGCTGCCGTCCTCCTAGCCAGAAAAATGGAAGCTCCATCCCTCCCGTTACTCAGCCAAAAGCCATGGCATTATTCATGAGCCCTCTTTTTCTCACTCCCCATATTCAGTCCATCAGCTGCGACTCTACCTCTGTGATATCCAAAATGCAGAAACTTCTCACTAGTTTTCTTGCTGCTCCTGTGATGGGGCTACCATCACCTCTCTTCTGGATTATGACAGTGGCTTCCTAAATGATCTTCCTTTTTCAGCCCTTGCTTCCCACATCCTTTTTTAAGTCAGAGCAAGGGAGATTCTCTTAAAACAAAGCAAATTTCCTGACTTCTTTGTTGAAAACTTTCCAGTAGCTTCGTATCTCGCTGGTAAAATCCCTAGTCATTACAGAGGCCCACAAGGCCCTACCCATTCTAAACCTCCTTCACTTCCAGTCTATCATTACCCTTCTCACTAGCAGACCTCCAATTGCATCAGCCTTTTTTCTGTAATTCAAACACATGAATCAAGCACCTACTTTAAAGGCTTTACCTTTGCTTTTACTTCTGCTTAGAATGTTCTCTGGAACCACCATGGCGGTCTCCACTGTCGTTCTTTAGGTTCCTGCCCAAATATCACCTTCTCAGTGA